TGTAATAATATGTATACTAAGCCTGAAGGTGGCGCTTTACTACGACGGCCATCTTGGATGGTACACATACATAACTCTGCATTGCTGCGCCATCTTGTTAGCACTCTAGTTGTTTAATAGCTCTATGTCTAATTCGCATCAAAAAAGTTTCTCGACAAACTGACGCTGGTGGCGCTTTCCCAAATGTGCTAAAACGGTACTACGAAAAATTAATAAATTAGAGACTTGTGGCAAGTCTACCCAATAGTGTGAATCATAAATTTTGCTCATAGTCATAATAAGTATGCGCAGTAAAAAACTTTGTAGTTAATTATTGAACCATTGAGGAATTAGTTTCCTCCATGACTGAACTATGGGTATTTCAGAAACTGATCAGAATGAAATTTTCGGAAAAGTTTAACCAAGTTACAGTACAAGGAAGACATTATCAAATTGTAGTGACGATCAAGATTCGGGTGTGAATTTGAGGGTCATTTAAAATGCTAACGTTCCAGACTTTGATCTTATCAAAATAGCGCAATGGTTTTGGGTCTCTATATCACCATCGTTATTATCATTGCAGCTATAGTCGAGTGAGTTTCCTGTTCTTTTTTACTTGATTTTCTTAGAAATATATAAAAATATGACATCATTCTACATACTCTGAATATTAGTAGCAGTCATAGTTCGAGTTTACCTGATGTCGACTTAGTTTTCATGTTCATGTGTTTTGAAACTTCATAGGTATGATTTCATTTTTGCTTTCCTTGTTTTATTTTACGCTAGACTTTTTAAATGAGTTTTTTGTAATTTTAAACATCAGCAAATAAGAAAAAGTCCTATGTGCTGTTTTACAAACAGATATATTTGCTGCGAAGCTGCCAATTCATATTCTTGACAGCAATTTGACCTCTGAAAGGTCATTGTTTGTCAAAAAACTAATTAATTACAGTAATTGCCTAAAGATATACGAATGGATGCAAGGACGTTTATTTATTTCCGATGGGGTGCTTACAAGAAACTGAGGGGTGAATATTAAAAACTGTTAGTTAAAATGTAGGGAAAAAACAGAAAAAATTAAGTAGGAAAAAGTTAACGTCTAAACAGGAAAACTAGCATTGAGAACATTTTTAAGTCTCATTTTAAATAAACATTCATTTTTGGCCGATTTAAGACCATTTGAAAGAGCGTTCCAGTCCCTGATACCCAAGATGAAGAGAAGGACCTAGACTCGGTGCCAGTTGTCTTGGGTACAGCAAAGTTATATATGCTATTCCGGGTCAAGTGGTCGTTAAGATTTTGTACTCTGGTGAAGTTGGAGTACATATGGAGGGCGTGGGTTTTTCGGAAATTTTTTAAAACATGACAGAGCCTGATATACTTCATCATTTCTTTAAGATGTCCAAGACTGGAAAGCTCCTTCAAACCAATGTGAAACCTATTATTTACGCCCAGAACGAAACGTGCCATCTTATTTTGAGTAACTTGCAATTTATGTTTAAGAGATTTATTTAAATTGCTATACCAGGAAGATGCACCATAGTCAAACAGGAGCTGTATTAATGTGGAACATAAAGTGTTTCCTACATGATACAGTTAAGCACGATTTGTTTCTGCAAAGAAAACGCAGTCTACCACTAGCTTTTTGAATAACACTATTGGCAACACTAGAGTTCGGGCTTGTTAGCATGTAATAAAAGCTTATTAACAATTAACCATTTATTGCACGATTCGAGAACTTTTAACTAGCTTTTTAGAAATTATTTAAGGTTTGGGGTAGCCCAAACTTATAGTTTTTTTCGTCAGCATAAAGTAAAAGCGTACAATCATTATCAATCCAGGCTGACATATCAATATTATGGACTAAAAATAAGGTCGGACATAAAATATTACCCTCTGGGACACCAAGAAACGCTAAGAAACATGTCTAAGTTCAGAGAGTTTGTTTTCAATGCTGACAGACGGGGTCCTGTTAAGCCTGTTTTCCACTAGGCGAATTTATTCGCGCGAATCGAAAGCGTCGGTTCATGCGCATGCGCATTCACATTCTTATTGGAGTTTTTGCGAAGCGAAAAAATGCACAACCAATCAGAGCTTAGGAAGCGAACCGACGCTTTGATTCGCGCGAATAAATTCGCCTAGAATTTCACTTTCAAGAATGAGGATTTGAAAATAAATTAGATGGTTAGGGCCTACATTGCATACTCTTTGTTTCTTGCTTTATTCAAAATTTTTTGGTTTTGGGAGCTGATTTCAACATTAGAAAGCATAGCCTACATGAAGTCATAGTATAGTAACTCGATGCCTAATTAATAAAAATTCGCCATAATTCATCAAATACCCTTCGCTTCCAGGGGGAGTCGCCCCCTGGACCCCCCACCGGGGCCCTAGGCGGCACAGAATATTGTGATCGACAGTGTCAAATGCCTTCTGGAAATCGATAAGAACCATGCCTGTGTAGAGACCACGGGAGATGTTAGATTTAACTTGGTCTGTGAGTTAATCAGTTGTATGAGACTGAACCCAGATCGAGTTATGCATTTTATTTATAACAAAGCGTGAATCCTGTCACTATATACCTTTAATATGTGTAGATTCAAAGGAAGATGTAGTAAATTCACTAATTAAATAACCAAAATCCCAAAACAAATATCACGGTGATGTGACTTTGATTCAAAACTTTTATTATATTTAATACCGAATGATATTACATAATGTAAATGTAGCATAAAATGCAAAATATTATAATACATGATAGAGCTATTAAAAGGGGATCGAACCATCTGAAGAGCTTTTCGCTGGAGACCTTTTTTAAACAAATAAATTAGGGGTGCTTAACCTTAGAAATTAGGCGCCTGAAATTTTCAATAGGAAAGGTTCAGAGCAAATTGTCATATTGGTCGAGTAATAAGAAGAAATCTATTAAAAAAAATTCTTTCGAATCCTTCAGAAGACTAAGGCGATATTCTACTAAGTATGTTTAATATATTTTCTTACCTGCAGAATGTCCAACAAGGGCTAGCAGAAACCACATTTCCTGTTAAAATAATAAATTCGAGCGATATTTATTGATTTTTGTCTTATTGATCGACAAAAAAAAATAAAAATATTAAATTAGTATACTGTAGATGGAACTAGAAGGGTGCTCTACAATTCATTCATTTAGTATAATCACAATGATGTGCATAACAAATTTAGCAATCAGTAATAGTATGAAATGTTTTCGGAAGCAGTAGGCCTATCAGCTCTTAGTATGATGTAGTCAGGCACAGGCATATGGGCAACAAAGCACTGTGAAGCAACCCAAAAAGGTTTGCAACAGCTTTGAAGAAAAAAGACAATCTTTCACCGATTGATCAATATGGTTCAAATAGATAAAAATAAAATTGATACCAAAAGTATAAAATCATATAACTATAGCTTACCATTAAGAAATACATTTTATTGGCCCACATCTGCCGACAACTGCAGACAAATCAACAATGCCAATAATCAGTTATCTAGTCTAATGTTGCGCCTTCTAAAATTCGCCTCTTATCAAATTACCTACCAGATTATAAAGGTGTCGTCATTATATAGTCAGTCAGTGTAAACATGTGGCGTCTGCAAGCGACTGCGTGTGGATGGATGGAAGGCAAGTGCTTAATAAAAATAATGCAAACAAGTCAGTATTAAAGTTTCATAACGCCTTGATTAAACTCATACCATAAATTCCAGGTTAGTTTGATCATAGAGAAAATAGAACTTTTCTATTTTCTCTATGGTTTGATGCATTTTCAGACTAGTATCATGAAGAATTAATATTATAAACATAGAATATAGGCCTATATATTCATAAACGGGAATGAAATTTAATTATGAAATGCGAAATGTGTGACTGATTTAATTGAATGCACTTTCCGTTAAAAACATAATGCAAAACAAAGTCAATATTAATGTTTCATGACGCCTTTATACCATGAATACCATGGATTCCAAGTTAGCTTTGATGCATTTTCAGACTAATATCAACAAAAATTAATATTGTAAACATAGAATATATATATTTATTAACGGGAATAAAATTTAGTCATGCAATGCCGAATGTGTGGACTGATTTAATGGAACGCACTTTCTGTTAAAAACATAATGCAACACAAAGTCTGTACAGTATAATGTTTCATGACGCCTTTATACCACAGATTCCAAGTTACCTTTGATGCATTTTCAGACTAATGTCATGAAAAATTAATATTATAAACATAAACGAGCATCAAATTACGAAATGTCAAGCGCTGATACGTTTGACATGATTTAATTGAACGCGTGTGCTGATTAAATCTTATACGTATTAAAGTTTCATAACGCCTTGGTTACACTCATTCCAAGGAATCCAAGTTAGTTTGATACATTTTTCAGATTAGTATCATGAAAAAGTAATAGGCCTATTATAATAAACATCAAATTTAACTATGAAACGTCAAATATATAATCTGTTAGAAATTGAATTGCTGAGTTTTAGCTGTTATTTATAGTGGCATTATCTAATTCATTAGTGCTTACATTAGTTCTTTGAAAATCTGATTCAGATTTAAAAAAAGTATGTTATTGTTTATTGATATCTCGCCTTTCTTTGCATGTACGTAGCGCTTTTTTCCCACGTCATTGGATTCATAAGCCCAAGTTGCTGCTGTATACAGCTCAGGCGCAGCCAACCCAGCATGTGCTTATATAATTGGTTAAGTGTCTTGCTCAATGACGCAAGCGAAGTTGATAAACCAAACTGTTTCCGCTCCCCTTCATCTCCTTTCTGTTAAACATTGCTAGTTCTAGATGCACGTCATTGCATACTTATGACCCAGCTAACCATATTACGTTATAAGAACGTTATAATAACTTTGCAGTTTGGTGATAAAAACTTTATTTTCTAGAACCATACGTACTTTTAACCTAATTTAAAGTCACAACGTTTCAACGTTTTTACAACGTTGTGTGAACGTCATGTTGTGACATACATAACCACAACGTTCGCGAACGTTATAACAACGTTTTGTGTTTGCTTGGGATACACCTTAATCTAAAACATTTATAATAACACGATATAATAATAATAATAATAATAATAATAATAATAATAATAATAATAATAATAATAATAATAATAATAATACTGTAATAATAATAATAATAATACGAGACAACTTTTTTATACATACATGCATCAAGCACATCTACACGCACGTATTTCAAATTCGATTCCCATTTCATACAATTGTGTTATGAAACTTTCGTTGATGAACTATGTTTGATACGATTTATAAC